TGCTCATGCTGCTGCTGCTGGTGCTTGTGGTGGTAGTGGCAGTGGTGGTGGCGGTGGTAGTGACGGTGGCAGTGGCAGTCACAGTAGAACTAGCTAACTAGCAGTAGCAGTAACAACAACGGCAGTTCACCGTTGTAGTAGTCGTCGCCGTCATCTTTGTCGTTTGGTCATCCTTCTCGTCGTGGACTCGGCGGTGGTGGTGGTGGTGGTGGAGGCGGTAGTGTTGGTGGCCGTTGTCGGTGTCATGACGGTTTAATGCCAAGGGTCTGAAGGATTTCCTACAACCCCCCTCGTTCTCCGTGAGGAGGCAGCGCCAAAATTGCAACCAACTGGTGTAGCACTTCGCTAAATCATCCGGCGCAGGTGATGGGCCTTTGTTGCGGCGTCTGGCTTCGGTCCAGTCGCCTGGATGTACGATTCGGAAACCGTTCAGAAAGAGGCTTGTTCTTTGGGTCCACTTGGCTGTCACTGTGGAGTTGCTGCACAGCCTCAAGCTCAGGTATTCAGTGTTGAAGGGACCGACGGAGGTCACGGTAGATTGATGGCAAGCAGGTATGTCACACAAAGAACTTCAACTTTGATGTTAGCTGGATTCAGCAACGAAAACCAATAGAGTGGATTTGCTCCTCTCCGCTATGAAAGGCTTGGTTTTACGTTAATCTTGCACCGGAGGTATCAGTTGACTTTTTGCCGGCGGACTTACCTGGACGATGCCCCAGCTGGTGCTGCACAGATCGTGATCCCGGCTGAGACCGACACAGGCTCCATGCCTAAAGGTACGAAACCCCAGGATCTCAGAGCTACCCACCTTGTCGGCTCAAGGGGGAGCAACAGTGTGCTGTTTGGATGTTCTCGATGACCCAGGTGGCTTCACACACTTCCTGCTTTACGCCTCGTCGGCTCTGGCGGAGCAGTCGACACCGTCATTCCTCCGTTTTGACGACTTGCGATCGAGAGCAGCTTTGTGGCACAGCACCTTTAAGCCCTAGTGGGTCAATGCTCACATGGCCGTTCTGCCGGAAGTCTTAAAGTGTGAAGCATCCCTTTTGTTTCGCGGGTAATTTTCCTCTGAGGGTTTCTGAAGAGCCGGACCTGTAGCTGAGGTTGCGAGCCTGAGCTTCGTGGACTTGGATCTCGACGCAGGTGAGCTGGGCGGCACGATCAGTTCCCTGGCAAATCCCTATACGTCTAACTCGGACTCGAACCTGCCGAGCTCATGCCATAAGAAGTCGAGGACTCGCACAAACCACCAACCGGACCGGTGGGATTCGGGTTCCAGTGGAGCATCGTAGGGCCAGGGGTTGCCAAGGCTGTGATTCAATCATCGAGGGTCGCCATTTAGAATTTCAATATGTTTAGCCTGTTCTATTCGGGCTGTGCGAGTCTACTGTTGCTTGTTGCTGGATCATGAGTGAGAGGTCGGTATAAAGTTTGCATCTGGAAGAGTCTTTGTTTAATAGCCCTTTCCCACGTACTGACCACATAAAGAGCATCTCAACAGAGGTACCTCGAACCCGATATATACTGGTAGCCGGTAGCCATGCAAGGACGCTGAGGGTTTCCGGCTCCAGGCCTCAACTCAAGGATGCATTGGGGGCATTAGATTCAGAGTTTGACGAAGCTGTCGCTGCTGCGTGTTTGAGGGGCAGATGTCGGAGCCTTCTGAACTAATGATGCTTGCGGCCTGAATAGAAGAGAAGGAAGCCCGGAGTTGTCATGGAAGCTGGACGAAGCACTGCTTGGAGTTCTTTGCCATCTCTTTGTGCAACCTGTTGGCCTTTTTTGATCCCGCCGTTTTTCGAGCAGCGTCATGGAAAGTGTAAGTACGCTCAAGTATCGGAGGCTCGAAGATGCTATCATGTCACGTCCTTCTTTATAGAGAGGTGAAGACTTGCGGTCGTGTGCACGACCGTCTGATAGACACCGATAGAGCCCAACAAAGAGGAGAAGGCACGACATGACTCAATAGATGCGATAGTGCGACAAATCAGGGGCTAGAGATCTCAGCAGCAGGCTTTTGGTCGGCATATGATGTGACTTTTGACACACCCGTCCACATGCCTGAGGTTGGACAGCTGTTTTTGACAAGCAGTTGATCGCTTCGTACAACATCTACCTGGCCACAAGCTATGAAGGTGATGGCAGGCTTCTTGCCAAAAGTGAGACGAAAAGTCCCGAACCCCTGCGTTGCTATCGGCCGAGCGTAAGGCCCTAGATTCGATGTTCCGCCTGGATGCCCAAAGACGAACCTCGAACACAGGAAGAACCGGTTCCCGAGACGATGCAGTGATATCTTGCAAACATTGCATGATCTCATTCCTTTCTTAAATCCTGCGATACCTGGCATTCAATGCCCAGTTTCAGGCATGCAGACAAAGATGTGTATCCGTGCAAGCCCTAGGCCCGAAGCTCAGACACTGAATTGTGTTGCTCCTACCAATGCAGGGAGCTCCAGCTTGTGTCCACGGAGCTCAGCATTCTACTTCCTCCAGAAACATCCTTGAGGCACAGTGTTTAAGTGTCGGCCTTGAGGGTTCGGCTGTCGGAGCTGCAGAGGTCAAGGGCAAATTTGAATTCTGCGTGGCCTTGGGGTTTCGGTTGTTGATCTTATGACTTATGATTTGGACGACCAGCCCTTTTGTGTGCCACTGTTGGAGGTAACTATGTCGCCAGGGCTGACGATTAAAAGTCACAGTGTAGATCCAGGCACTTCACGCATCTCGTGGTCTACGCTGCATCAGAGCTGGCAGAGCAGACAACACCCGTCGCACTTCTACTTTCAGATGTACAAGCTTCTGTGGCCAATGTGCCACTTGGCTTGCCTATGACATCCAGATGTGTCAGTGGCCTTTGTTTCGTCTCTTGTGATGCGGGGGCAACCTGGAGCATGCTTCGACACTAAGTGTAGACTGGACTAGAATGTGTATCTGCTGCAAGTGCCGGGCTTGTGTTACATGTGGTGATTGCTTCCTCCTCGGGCACAGGCTGCAACAAATACCAGCACCATGTACTCTCCATGCAGCGTTGCAGGTCGTTGTCAGACTATGATCTGGACGAGCACGAAATTGGTGGCACCCTGGTGACACGGTCGCAAGCCCCAGACGCTAAACATTGAAAGCTGACGATAGAGCCGTGAGACGGCCAAGTCGTGACCGAGGTATGGGATGAACCAAGCAACACTGAGCAGGCTCGGCAGCGAGCTGGACCGTGTTCTGGCAGGGGTGTAATGTTCCGGCTTTCTCTGGAGCATCGAGCACACCCTTTTGCGACGGGGCCATGTTGGCTGAGGCTTTTCGCCTCCGTGTGTCTATTGACTAGAATCATGATCGGGCAGCTCCAGACGACAATGCTGTAGAAGCCGCTGTGGCAGCTAAAGAGGCAGATGTAGATTCGAAGTGGCTGCCGAGTCCCGAATATCGCTAGACGACTGACAGCGTCCTCGGTGTATAACATTCTGGCTTTCGCAGCCCAGCATGAACGTGACCCTCGCAGTAGCAGGTAACCCACTACATTGTCTACTTCGCAGACTACAACATGACCAACGATTCTGACATCCGTTCCTTGGTTGCGGGTCTCATCCCCTTTACCTGCATCGCTGAGCAGCGCCCGCACCCATCGACTAGGTCCGGCATTTCACAGCCAGGTAGGATCAACACATGCACATGCAAAGGTGCCTACTTCCAGAATGTCTCTGTTGGCAATGACAGCCTTACGGTCCAGCCAGAGACTCCTTTGATCAACTTTGCCAATGTCGTTCCACGATCAACCCACGTTGCCATCTATACACTCTCCCTGCTGGTGGAACAGAGTACACCGGCTACGCACGCCATAGTGGATGCGTTTGCAACGGTTTCCGGCACGCTCTTTGTCGACAAGGACGTTCCGTGCACTCCGTCTTTCAGTGCTTGCAACAGACAATATTGAAGTACTGCCGAAGAGCCAAGGTTCAGGACAGACATATGAGACATCCACTTCAGCATGCATTGAGTCTGGTGAGGACTTGGACGGAGAGGAAATCGGCGGTCGAATGTCATGGCAGCTGCCTGCACAACTAGAGAAGGTGGCCACCTCAGCATACGGTCTTTAAAGACACCAGTAAGGGGATTGAGGCGACGGGCTTTCGCCTGCCATGTCTCAAGCCAGATGAAGTCAGGGACCAAGCCATTCCAGACAGACCTAGTTCAAAGTCTAGAGTCTGGTGGTGTTTCGTTTGATACGGATCCGGGCTTCAGCGCTTTGAAAGTGTCTCGGAGCCCTGTGTCAAACTAAAGGGTGCTGCCAGACCCTTTCGGGCAACTTCTTGCCAATATGGGGCAGCATGCGACATGTACTCAGATTGGCCCGCACGGCCATCCGACTGTACAGGGTGTTAGAGAGCTGGCTTTCCAACTGCAGATGATGCGCATGTTATTGTTCCGCATTGAATGCTTCTATGTATTGTGTATAGCCAGGTGATCCAGTACAATGTCTACTTTGCACAGGGCGCAGATGGACTCAACAGGCACCTGACTAACTATAACATCAGCATCGTGATGGGCTCGGATGCAGATGCTGGCGCATCAGGAGCCGGCATTCTATGGTCTGGATAGTGTCAGTTTACCCCTCGCCCCCCGCGACGCCGCGGGGTTCGGCTTCTTGTTTTGAGCCAAACAAGCCCCCCCCCCCCCCCCCCCTTCGCTTATTGTCTGGTCCGGACAAGAATCCCTGCACCGCTCCTGGTCTGAGCCGGACAAGAACCCCCCCCTTTCTTGTCATTCCCAGCACCCGCTCTCTTCTTTATAAACGAATCCAACAAAATACACAGATTGGAACCGAGCCCAAACTCATGCAATCACAGTTAGATAAATCACAAATAACTCACAAATCGATCACAAGTTGGAAAACACCGAAACAGCTGATCACAGATTGTTGACAGGCTCAAAACACAAAAAAAGATTAGACCCCGAAATGATTTTTCAAACCCAGGCATTACAACGAAAACAGGGTTTTACAGTAGCAATAGTAGTCGCAACGAGAAGCGGGTGAAGGTTTGGGCTTTTGGCTGTGGGGCTTTCTTCTGAGCGCAGTCTCGGACGAACTGATCGATAATTATCATCTGAACCGGAGAGGACTGGGGAATCCGTTCAGATTTCAAGCGTTTTGGGTGCCATCCCTAGTAACGAACTTGAGTTGACGATAGCTTCCAGACTCGGGCACAGGAGCTGATGACGAGGGCTACCTGGACATCCCGCCGGACACTGCGCTGCAGTCCTTCTCACACCTGCTGGTTTACACTCGCTCGGTGCTTGTCGAGCAGAGCACACCCGACTCTTTCCTCATCAGCGACGCAGAAGCCACGGTCCCTTTGAAGCCTTCAGCCCGCATGCTTTCCACCACTCTTGTGGTTCCGATCCATCAAACCTGAGCAATTGCCATGTTCACACCGCAGCTTCTGGATCTAGCCTCCACGGAGGTCCAAAACGTCAGCTTTCCAGACGAAGACTTGGATCTTGGGGACTTGGGCGGCGTCTTGGAGTGGGTCGAGCCAGAGGAGGTGTCGCAGGCCGCGCACAAGAGCATAGAATGTGAAGCCCGAAGGAAGGGGGGATCCTCAACCACATGACATCATTACCGGCAGTCCTGATTGCAGTTCAGGTCACGCACTACATGGTGTACCTGGCAGAGCTTTCTGGCGATCCAGGTTCCTCTGCCGCGGCACCGAGTCTGTTGCGCATCCGGCAATACGCAGCTGACACTACGCACCTCCGGCAGACATGTTGAGAGCAAGCATTCTGCTTGCGACTGCAAATGCATTTTTCTTGCGCATCCGGCTGCCAGAGGAGGTGTCATGTGATCGTGATGCCAAGTCCCAATGATATCTCATATCTGGGAAGGTGCGGACATCAACATCAGCAACGACAAGGCAGACTTTGCATTTCAGTCGCTGGTGCCGCTAGTGTGCACGTACGTGCAAAAGCATATTATACACCAGTGGCCGGCCGCATGTGTATGCGTGTAGGGTATGTAGCGTACTGTATTCAATACTACTGTGATGAGCTGTACTGTGATGATGAACTGTAATGCGATGTACTGTGATGCAATGCAATGTGGTGCAGGGTAGTGCAATGTACGCAATGTAATGTAATGCACTAATGAAGTGATATGTAATCCATGTAAGCCCGTAACCGTATCTCCTTATGTATGTACGCATGTATGTATCTGTATATATATATATATATATATATATGTATGTAGTTATATATTTATGTATGCATGCATGTGTATATGTATATATATATATATATATATATATACACGCATATATTTGTATATATATATATATATATATATGTGCGTATGTATGGCTCATGCATGCACACATGCATGCATGTATCATTCAGCTACCCGTCTATCCATCTACCTGCCTATCTATTTTCTTTCTATCTATCTGTTCGTCCATCTGTTTATCGAACTATCCAGCTGTCTGTTTATTTGTTTATCTATTTACAGGTACTTATCTATCCATCCATCTATCTGTACACAAAAGACATGTTTCATCATCATGGGAGCCGCCTCACAAAAGAAGCGCCTGACATCGCAGGTGTTGGTGGCCGTGATCTCCGGGTCTTTCTCCTTTGCCTTGGTCGGCGCGACAGTGTTGCAGCTGCAGGAATACAGCTTGAGCATGCTAGGACTTCGACGGAAGCACTTCTTCATAATCACAAATCGCTGTGTCCATGCATCAGTCACCATCGTTGTGAATTGTTGCTGCGCGGTCTTTCTGTTCTCTGAGTTCAGCACCACAGCTCTGAGATAGATAGCGAGAGAAAGAGAGGGACAGAGAGAGAGAGAGAGAGAGAGCGAGACTCTTTCAACTAGATCGTTTCTTTATGGATCCTTCTTCGGGGGACTCGGTTCTTTTTCCACGCCATTCAGACAACCAAGCAAACAAGGGTTAGCCACTCGGCTCCGAGGGCTTGACAAACAAACAGCAACACAAGCAACCCAGCAAGCAAACACACAAACAATCAAGCAAACAAACGAGTGCAAACAAAAAGCCAGGCATGCATGCATGCAGGCATGCACGCACGCGCATACATACATGCATACATACATACGTACATACATAACTACGTACTTTCATAAGCACGTACTTACGTGCATACCGATGTGCATACCTACCTACCTACTTACCTACCCACATACACACCCATCCATCCATCCCTCCATCCCTCCATCGTCCGTCCATCCGTCCCTCCTCCCTCCCTTCATCCATCCATCCATCCACATGTATGTACGTAAGTATGTATGTAGGTATGTAGAGTATGTATGCATTTATGCATATATGTATGCGCATATGTATGTCCGAATGTTTGTATGGATGCATGGCTGGACGCAGCTACTCACACACCCATGGGTACGCGAACTCACCCGCGCACTTGAGGCTTCTCAGGTTGTCGATGCAGCCATTGCAGCCTTGGGATCTGCCCTGGGCGTGGACCCCTCGGCGGTGGAGGTTCAGGTGACACAGTCGGCACGACGCCTTGCACGAGCAAAGAAAGCTACCGGCCGCCGACTTGCCATCTCCTGGTCCGTGGTTTACCAGGTCCTCGTGTCCGCCGATGCTGCTGCGTCCGTGTCCGAGGCTGCACGGGCCCAACGCGCGGACCTGGCTGCGTTCCGAGCCATCCTGGCCCCAGAGCTCGAAGCCGTCGGGGTGAGCACGTCCTCCGTGTCGTCGCTGGCAATCTTGGACTTTGCCGAGGTCTCGGTGGAGATAACAGAGCTGGGTGCGGCCCTGGCAATGCTCAACACAACCTCAGACCCAGACCCCGCTGCTGAGGACTCTGACATCGATGGCTTCAACAACTTGACACTCCAGGAGCGCAGGCTTTCAACCATCACTGGAACGAGATCTCTGGCACTTGGTTGGTTCCGGGAGTTCTTTGCCAAGGCCTTGTTGGGCGATGACAACGTGACTGTGCCCCCTGAGACTTCCATCGGAAACTACACGCACTTTCTGGTCTATACAGCTTCCGGTCTCGCAGAGCAGACCACCCCCGCGGCTGGGTTGCAATCTAGGCCCATTGCGTTGACTTATGCTAATTTGTCAGACCTGCCTCGGGGAATCATGAACATACCTGTGCGCACGACACCTTTGGAGCAAGGCTGCGCTAGAATTGGCAGACGAGTCCGCGAGTGTCTCCAATGTAACTTTTGTCGATCTGGATCTCGATGCCACCGAAGTGGGAGGAACCATCGTGTGGGATCTCCCGGCATCTCGGCCTGGGGGCGTCTTAAGCATCTCACTTCTTGTGTGAGGTTGTTTTGCAGCGGAGTGGCACATTGGCACGCATGTGAGGGCTTGCAGGTAGTTGACCAGTGATCAGCATTCAAAAGTCGATCGAAGGAAAACCGAGAGCACGTGGAAGATTACCTGGTGTATTTCGGAGAGGACCACCTGGGACTGGCAAGATCCCAGCTGGATCAGGCCCTTTCGAAGGGGATAACCATGTTGCCGCTCTTGCCGGAAACGCCAAAGCTGAATTACAGTCATGTGCTGGTGTACACACGTTCGACGATTGTGGAACAGACGACTCCGGCTTCCAGCAGATTGCTCGACGAAGCACCTGTGGTGCGGAGCATTCGCTTCCCGGACTTAGATTTAGATGCGGCAGACCTTGGTGGAGAGCTTTCCTGGTCCACAAGCGATGAGGCACTGGTAGAGGCCTATATGGTGTACCTAGCAGGGCCTGCAAACGGAGCCCTTTGCGACCGGGTCAGTGGCGTCGGAGACGCGGAGCTGTGCCGCTACTTCCTGACTAACGCATCGGCTCCCGAATCTAGCCTAGACATAGCCCCGGAGACGCCCCTGGCCAACAATGGCCTTGTGCTCATCTACTTGCAATCCTCCCTCGCCGAGCAGACCACTCCCTTTGCGCACGAAATCAACGACACCATCGCCAGTGTTTCTCAGGTGTCTTTCGACGACCTAGACCTTGACCTGGAGCAATTTGGTGGTATCATCTCGTGGACGGAGCCACCAGAACCTGAACCAGTGGAGGGATACTGGCTCTACTTCAAGGATGACTACAGCCGCTCCCAACTTTCAGTGCTGACACCAGGAATCGACTCTTTCTCATTACCTGCCGAAACAAGCTACGGAGGAGGACAGATTGCAATCTACACCAAGTCGAGCCTTGTAGAGCAAACAACCCCTGTGGCTTTGAACCTTTCAGACACCATCGCTATTGTAGGGAACGCCTCTTTTCCGGACTTTGACTTGGACAGGGGCGACGTTGGGGGCCTATTCTCCTGGGAGCCACCATCAGACACGTCCAAAGTCACGCACTATGTGATTTACATGGCCAGGCAGCACGACAACGAGTCCGAAGAGTGCTACGAAGACGTGGTTCAGATGGCGGCGATCACCGGCAGCTTCACTTTCTCCGTGCCGGCCACTCTCGAGCAGGTGGAGCAGGCAGCGCGTCTAGCTGTGCTCGCAGCTTTGCCGGGAATCGATCCGAAGAACCTCGAAGTGACGGTCACGAGGACGAGCCGACGCCTCGCAGCTGAGATGCGGCGCCTCTCTCTCTCCAGCTTCTGGCAGGTCAGCTACGAGGCCGCCGTGTCCCTGGAGGCGGTCTTGACAACCTCCGCGGCGGCAGTGGCGTTGAGCTCGGCACCCGCATCCTTTCAGACAGTCTTGGCTGTGGCGCTGCAGGCGGCTGGGGTGTCCAGCCTGGTGACCAGCGGAAGCCTCTCTGTGCTGTCTTTCTCCCGCCTTGCGGTGGACACCGTGGACACGGCCCAAATCCTGCAGCGCTTTGCGATCACAGCCGCAGCTGTCGCAGCCAATGCCAGTGACGAGGATACGGATGTAATCTCCAACATCTCCAGAAGGCTGTCTTCGGCTTTCGAAGTATCCGATGAATCCGATGGCCTTTTTGAGGACTCGGATGCAGTCCTCCGGCAGCTGTCAGGTCGCAACACCGGACTCTTTTCCTTGAGTCTCAGCTGGTGTCGCAAGTTTGTCGGGAGTACGCTGGAGAGCGATACAGCACTCACAATTCCTCCAGAAACACGTCTCGCAAATTGGACACACTACCTTGTGTATGCTGCCTCCAGCCTAGCAGAACAAAGCTATCCAAGAGCGCTGCAGATTGCGGATGAAGACTCCAGTGTTTCCTCCATGTCGTTTTTAGGACAGGACCTTGACTTTTACGATTTGGGTGGACGCTTGTCTTGGGAGCCGCCGAACTCGACCGAGCGTTTGGCGGCCTACCGCATCTACCTCGCCGAGAGTGCCTTAGGTTTCGGCCGATCGCAAATCGGTCCCACGGAGCTGGCTCCGGAGGTTCTCTTCTACGATGTGCCGGCGAACACACGGAGAGAGAACTTCACCCACTTCACCGTCTTCACGAAGTCACTCCTCGTGGAGCAGACGACGCCTGCATTCCTGGCCATTCAAGACGAGGCATCCCGAGCCAACAACGTCTCCTTCGTTGATGACGATCTCGATGAGGGGGAAATCGGAGGAAATCTTACGTGGCTTTCCGCTGAAGATGACTCCGAGGTGGTGGACTACGTTATCTACCTCGCGGAGGATCGATATGGGACCAACCGGACGCTGCTTGGAAATGTCAGTCGAGATGAGCTTAGCTTCGCTGTTCCAGACAACACTCAGCTGCTGAGCTTTACACACTTGTTGGTCTTTGGCCGGTCGCCTCTGGAAGAGCAAACAACTCCTTCCTCAGTGGTCATTATCGAAACCATCGCTAGCGTGACAAACGTGTCCTTTACGGATTTGGACTTGGACGCCGGTGAGCTTGGCGGCACGGTGACTTTCGTGCCGCCAACATCGTCCGAACGTGTGGTGAGCTACGTAGCATACCTTGCGACAAGCTTCGGCGACTCCACAAGCTACGCTCCAAGCTACCGGTCACAGCTGGGAGACATCGCGGTTGGTGTGGACTCGGAGATCGCAGAGATCCTCCCGGACACAGCTTTGGCCAACTTTGCTCAAGTGTTGGTTTACACAAAGTCGAGGCTTGCCGAGCAGACGACTCCCAGTGCCTTTGCCCTTCAGGACAACAATGCCTCTGTTTCCTCGGTTCTCTTCGTCGACTTGGACCTGGACCTCGGTGACATCGGAGGGCCTATTTCATGGCTGCCACCATTAGACACCTCGCTGGTCACACACTTCGAGGTATACTTCTCCAACAGCACAGTCGGCGAATGGAGGGAGCACTATGCTACGCTGCCAGCGGGAACAACAGTGCTTCAGATACATGCGGAGAAGAACTTGAAGAGTGATGAGGCATATATCTCGCATCTCTTGGTCTACACGAGGCAGGCACCTAAGCTTGTTGTGATCGGGACGAACCTCGCGTGCGCTAGATCTGCTTGCGCTGCTGTAGCTTTATAGCATTGCAATAAAACTAGTGCCGTATTGGCTGTATAGTATTGCAATACCAATGATGATGATAGTTGTTGCAGCACTGATGGGAAGGTCGGCCCTTGTGGAACAGTCGACGCCCAGCATCCATCGGATTGCAGACGAGTTTGCTAGCGTTTCGAACATTTCTTTCAAAGATCTGGATCTGGATCGTCATGAGATTGGTGGCTTGGTGACGTGGGAGTCTCCAAACAAGCCAGATCTTGTGGAAGGCCCCTTGACAAGGAACTTCTGATCTTAAGCTTATTCGCCTCACCGATTGAATTGAGTATGCCCCTGTGAGAGGCATTCTCAGCTCAATTCTACTGTGCCCGTACGGATCGGTTTTGAGGTATGCGTGTGCGTCCCGGCGTGTTGCCGTAAATGACCGACCCTAGAATTCCCTAAGTATGCACGCAAAGTGCCATGCGAGTGTGAAGAGTCGGGGATTCAATGTCAATGCCTGCTTTCCGTCAAGCGACTCAAGCGTACATCCAAAAGTGTTCAAAGACAAGTCGAGAGGCTACCACCTGTACTTTGCCGATTCAGAAGATGGTTTCTACCGTTCGCAAGTCGACGAAGGAGTGCCAGCTGCGGTCCCAGCGATGTTCCGGATGCTCAGGGCGATTCGCTCTTTCTGGGCATACACTGATGTAGTTGGAGTTTCAACGATTTCAACGATTCAAAGGTGTTGCACTCCGGCTCCTGAACTTTGGAGATGCTTCTGGGGTCAGCGGCCTTTCAGGTGACGGGTTTGGTGGGGCATCAGACTTTTCATATGCGGTTGTTGTCTCCTCGGGCCCGTTTTCCACAGTTCTGGCGAGCTTTGGCGTTTCGGGTGGACTGCTCCGGATTTGGAGGTGCTGGAGCTCTGCTGACTCTGCTGTTTCAGAGCTTTTGAATCCCTTAACTGCCGGACGGGCAAGCTCCGATGCAACAGCAACTATAACCTGATTATGAGAGCATGCTGGGGCCACGGTGGAGACTTTCTAGGGTTAGGACGATCTGCTGATGTTGCTGGGCATTGGTGGTTGGCAGCTTTCCACCTGCGTGATGATGCACTCGAAGTGAATCGCTTTCAGGACCGCAACAGGCAGACCTCAGAAATCCGGACAACTACTGGGCTCCCGGACCCTCCGAAGAGTGTAGCCGGCTTGCTCTAGACGAGAAGCTCGCATAGCTGGAACGAAACGATAAGTCAAGTTCATGTGCTTCACGTGCGAAAGGTTTCTGCGCGAAAAGCAAGGGAACTGTTTCCAGTTCTGCGCACAAGGCACCGAGACGTCGTGACAACACGAGACATCAACAAAAAAAGAGTGACAGTGGGCGAGTCTGGTCGCTGTCTGAAGCGATTCCACTGCGGGTTTCGCGACATGAAGCGAGCAGAGTGCCTCGTTGGTCGACGTGGCACTGTGAGGAGATCTGATTTTGAAGACGTGCCGCCAAGGGCGAAACGGCTCCAAGAGTTGTAGTGCCACAAGGGGACACAAAGGTGCGGCTGGAAGGGGCATATGTTGTCTCGCACTGTGTGGGTCCGGAGCGCAAGCCATCTGAATCTGAGAGGCTACAGTAACCCCAAACCCACTTGGAAGGGGCACCGGGCTGACAAGGTGAACATCACCGCGCTGGACATCCTCTACGATACCCCTCGCCAAAACTTCAGCCACCTTGTAGTCTACACAAGGCCTGGCCGAGCTGCAGATTAAGAAGTTGGGGCGCCTCCGCACGCGATCTTTCAGAGCTGAAGCCACGTTACTTGTATCCTCTTGCTTAGGATCTGTGTAGGACTGCTGTAGACGGGGATGGAAAGTCACACCGGACGTGGAGTAGTCTGCAATCGCGGTTGCCGGTGGTTTGGAGTACATTTGTCAACGCGGCCGTGTTCAAGCAGCCCGCTCAGATATATGACCGTGCATTTCGCTGGCTCCTGCCGGGCAGCTGCACTGCATACATGATGATATATACTGAATTCATCGATTCTCTTTGCTCAGGTATCCTCTTTGCAAGCCGTGCTCAATGCATATGCGCAGAGAGCAAATCTAAAGCCTAAAGCATGGACGCAAAGACCGCAGGCTGTCCTTGATAAGAGGACTCACGAGCACAGTTGCCTTGCAAGCAGAAGGTTTGGACCCAAACTGCAGAGTCAAGAACGTGGTTTTGCTTGAGCGGACTTACTGTGTAGGTGCTCTTCTACCCAATCAAAGCAGATGCTCACCGCGTTGACAGCTCCGACTGCCTGGTGCCAACACAAACTCGGACGTTGTAAATGTGTAGGTTGAAACTCTGAAACAGACTGTTTATTCGAGGGCAAAGCACGTGATATTTGCACTAGGGTTATAATGTGGGTTAGCCAAAGGTAATGCAAGGCAGCAGGAGCCGCAACACTCGAATGTTCGTCTTGTTGTATCGCATGAACGGAATCAGAAAACAGCAGTATCCAATGGCCAGCACAGCTCCAGGCCCAGGCCAGGAGCTGTACAAATGTTGTTGAATCAGCCCGATTGTCCAACGTTGCCACGGCAAGCATGGGAAGTCAGATGTTTTTGAGTTGCACACTTCCGCTGTTTGTGAGCATCGGCTTGTGGTGCTACCGGTCGTGAAACCGGCTGCGAGCTCAAGATCAACGTACATGCTCATGACCGAAGAATTGGAAATGGAGCCTGGCCCCAGAAGGGGTAAGGCCGTAGGCAACACAAGAGATGCACTGATCAAACAAGTGGGAGGTCCTCACTCGCCGAGCAGACAACTCCGGTTGCAGCAACACTTCTGGACACATTTGCAACAGCCGGGCGCCCAGCTTGTCTTACTGATCGTGGCATACTGATATACCAGTTCTCAAGGAATTTCTCCACGCTTACGTACGGACAGTTGGATGGCCCTTCATAGGTGTCCAACCTTACCTTCGCAGACTACGACTTGGATGCTGCGGATATCGGCGGGCCCCTGACATGGGATCCTCCGGGTGATGTCTCGGCTCCTCATCTGCAGATTCGGAGTTCCAGTGGCCTGTAGAAGCTGCGACGCAGGATGTCGGCTTTCGAGACGGGAGATCAAGCTCAGGAAGTGGTGACGTACATCGTGTATCTGGCCAGAGCAGTGCCTGAGACGTAAACAGGGGCGTGATTGAGATTTTGGACTTCGTCGCGGTGTTGTTTGGGGGCCTGGGTGTGCTGCGATCTTTGCCTTTGCAGGTTCAGCGAACCCGAGAAGCCTCCTCTGCGATGTTAACAGGCAGGTTCCCGAGGCGTCCACGACACGAGGCCCCAAAGTTCCCCAAGCCCCCGCCATCTCGGCCCTGAAACGTCAGCCTCGAAAGCTCGAGAATGCTTGCAGGGCCTACTATGACCTGCACAAAACCACCCAAAAACGACCGCGGCCGAAGGCAGCGCCTGGAGCCGCCTGTTCCAACGAGTCTTCCGAGACAACGGCGGAGATAGAAGAGGACACCACCGATCAGACAGCGCATTGACAGCGGCAGTAGCACCCTCATCATCACGGTCATCATCATCATCATCATCATAGAAGGGCGCGGGCAGCTGTCACGCCCATGGCAGCGAGGAATAACTGAGGACTTGCACCAGAGC